TATAAACTAAACCCAGAACAATTCCAATGTCCGTCCGTCGTTAAGAATTTAAAACAATTCCATATATTGTAATCCCAAGCCAACCATGTAGTCAGTTTTTGGAGCTGCCCAAGATGTGTGGAATAGCAAAAAGACTCGCTTTAGTTGCGCACGTCGTAGAGGGCGTGTTGATAGCGATCCTTTTTGGCGGAGTCCTGTGGGTGCTTACTGGATTTACTGTATAGCTGCGTCTGGTTTTCATCGTGTTGTTTCTTGCTTTGTTTTTGCCTCGGAAAACTGCGCTCATTGAGCAGATCGTTCGGTGCCAACGTTTGCTCCGCGTACGGCTTGCAGGAGACGCGCAAATCGAGTGCAGCCAACGATTCCGTGTGCGGTTCTGGGCCCAGCTGAACGTCGCTGTGCTCCTCCTCGAACGGTGGCACAGTAAGAAGCTGTTGTTGCTCGGCGTTGCTCGGTTGCATTTCGCCGCAGCGCATGGTCTTGGCATCGGCTGCCTGCTCCGCACTGACCTTCATCAGGGTCAGATATTGATTGTATTTGGCATAGTTGCGTCTGCCCGTCTCATCGTTCATCAGCACCTGGGCCTGGATGTGCGACTTGTCGCGCATGGCCTTAAGCCGAATATGCTTGGTTATGTCCCAGCGCCAGTTGGAGCGATACGAGCAGAGCGAGCACTCAAATGGCTTGCGATTCAGATGGCCAACAATGTGGACATGGAAGCGCGATGCGGTGGCCGCCCAAAATGTGCAGTGCGGACACTTGAAAACCTTCTTCAGTGCGTCCGAGTCCTCCGGCTGCAGCTGCTCGGTAACCTGGGGCAGAATTATAGTTAAAATTATTTTGGCCAGCTTGTGTGTGTGTGTGTGAGCCTTACCTCGCCATAGCCGGGCGCCGTTTCTATGCCGCAGTAGCTGAGATCGTTGCCAGCGCCGCGATAATCCTCATCCGTAGCCAGTTCCATGTCGCAGGCCAGCTGCGTGGTATTGCGCAACGCCGGCTCGCACTGCTGCAAATGGCTGACCAGCTCCATGGCATTGGGCACTCGTTGCTGGCAATGGGAGCAAATGATGGGCGGCAGCTCCGACAGCGGCGAAGTAGAGCCCGTTGTCTCCACCGGACTGGAACAGGGCTCGGTGTCTAGTACTGGTTCCGCTGGCTCCGTTGATTCTTGCGTCCCGCTGTGCTGATGTTCCTGTGTTGCAGAGCGTCTGGTCACATGGTGATTGAGCTCGTGTATGGTCAGCGATTGCTTGATGTTGGTGCTGAAATCGCAGACGCCGCATTTGAAATAGCCATTGGCGCCATGGTTCTTGGTGTGCCTGTCCAGATTCCACTTGTAGGGCGAGTGAAAATCACACGAGCCGCACTTGATCAACGGCATGGAATGGTACTTGACATGCTTCTTGAAGCGCGCACGGATCGGTGTGCTGTACGAGCATTTTTGGCACTGGTACTGGGTGACCGAAGAGCCGGCGGAGAGATCGAGTGCCTCGGGTGTGGCGCATTCATCCGCCTGCGGCAGCTCCTCCGAATCGGAGCTGCTGTTCTCGGGCTCACGTTCCGTCTCCTCCGGCGGTCGGCTGCTGCTGGCCACATTCATGCCGGTTGTGGGCGGCAGCATGCACATCTGAAACTCGAAGGCCATCGAGAATATGTTGCCGCTGCGCGAGACCATCTGCTGTAGCTGCTGCAGCTGTTGCTGTCGATTGAAGGCCTCCACATTGCTGAGCAGCTGCTGTTCCTGCAGTTGCAGCTCGCTCTTCAGCTGCTTAAGTGAGGGTCCGCCCTGCAGCGTGGCTCCACCACCTGGCAAAACACCACCAAAGGGAATACTGGCACCACCAGCACCCACATTCCCGATAACGGGCGCTTCGATGCTCTCCTCGAGGCGACGCTTGCGCGCCTCCCGATTGCAGTGGCGCCTGCCAGCTATGCCAGTGCTGTCATCATCCGAGCAGCCATGCACCATCTTCATGTGCCGCACCAGCTTCTGGAAGTGCCGCGAGGCATACAGGCACAGCTTGCACTCATTTATCACAATCTTCTCGCCGTGCACATCGCGCAGATGCGACAAATGGCTGCGCGGATTCTGCGTGAAGAAGGCGCAGGCATTGCAGCTGTAGTTGCGCCTAATCTTGCACTGCGGCAGCTCCTCCTCGGCCCTTGGCTCCAGCTGCAGATGCGTCGCCGCCGGCTCCTTGCCCTCCTCCTCGCCGGGCAGCACCGTCTTGGGCATGGCCAGTGGCAGGATCAGCGGCAGCGGCTGGCTGGCCGTTCGGTTGTTGAGCATTTGAAGCTGTCGCTCGAGCATCTCGGCGCCCACCAGTGGGTGGGCGGCATTCGCACTGACACGCCCTGCAGCTGGCGCGCCACCGACTTCTTTGGCCTCCATTGCGGTCTGATAGACCGTGGCACCGCTCACCAGGCTGCGCACCACTAGACGACTACCGGAACGCTCCACCATCGACGGCAATTCCATGTCGGCGAAGTTTTTCACGATTTGCCGTTGTCTTGAAGAAATGCGTTTGTTTTGTTTTCAAAGTTATCCCGTTTTTTCCAGAAGTTTTTATTTTTTTGTTTTAGGCGAGATGTTAACACTACGTTAGCACACGTTGAACTAAACCACTGTCAGACCGTCAAACCGATGGTCGACTTTTTTTATTACGCAAAGGCTACTTGGGTCTCGAATTTCAAAGCGGTTCCTCGAGTCCCATGCGTGCTATGGGAAAGTCTGTCAAAATGGTTGATTTAACCACAACAAAAATATATACACATATATATATATGATAAGCCAGACACGACACTGGAATCAACTGAGTTCTGAAAGTGAAAAAAGGAAAATCAAGTGGAAATCTGTTAATAGATCGGCGCTGCGATAGAGGTAAGTTAGACGAGAGGGCGAGGGTGGAGAAATTCGGAAAACTGGCCCCAAAATGACAGCAAAAGATAGGCCACAATGCCTACATACTTAATAGTCCAAAAAGTGTATATGAATAGTAACAAAAAAATGAAAAGAAAACCACAAGCAGTAAAGGAAAAACTAATCTAAAGATTATTATTACGATAAGTACACTAACTTCAAGGATTTTTTTTAGTAATACAATGGAGCGGAAGGTGTACTCACCTTACGTTTAGTATTCAGCTATAAATAAAGTTACAAATAAAATTAAAAAGAAATATAGAACCCAAGACATTGATTACTCTAGATACAAAAGCAATAAGGGAAAACTAAGGATCAAGGGATTTTAAAATGAGGCAGAAAGTGTACTCAACTCATGTTGAGTATGCAAAGGTGTTTTACAGAGAAACCCACCACAAAAAGACTTACAATGAGCACAGAAGGGGCAGAGAATCAATCAACCTCAGAAAGTATACTCGCTGAGCATTCCGTATTGTAAATAGAAATACAAGAAAAGCCATTGCTATAGGCTAGAGAAAGCTAAAGGAAACGCTAAACTTAAGCTTAAGGTTTATTATCAGGGGCTATAAGCTGAGGTGAAAAGTGTACTCACCTCACGTTGGGTATTGAAATTTGTATAACTAGCACAGCCTCTATTTAAACTTAAAAATCTAGTGTTGCACTTGACTAGCGTGTGAAGTTCTATTGCTGCTCTATGGCTTGCTCCAAGGACTGGTTGAGATGCAGCGGTAATAAATGCATCCACAAGCCTGGCTCAACCTGAAGCTCGTGCGGGCTGAAGTTAAACAATGGCGGCAGCTGGACTCCATTGGGCATCGGTGTATTCAGTGCGTCCATGGTGCGCAGCTCATCATAGCTGGCGTGTGCACAGGCTCTCAGCGGCGAGATGCGTGCCGCGGGCTCATACTGCAGGCATTCATCCAGCAGGGCGGCCAGGTCTTCCGGCACCCAGTTGCCAATTAAGGTTTGCCAACTGGGCCGAGCGCTAACCTCGGCCGCGTCCAGCCCGCTGGCGGCGAGTACATGTGGCGCCCGTTCTAGGCCCGCGGTGCCCAGCAGTCCAATCACATGCAGCAGCTGGGCCTGGTCGTGTTTGCTGCTCGCAAAGAGCGCGTTGCCCTTCAGCAATTCGGCCAGGACACAGCCGGCGCTCCACAGATCCACGCTGGTGCCATATATTTCGCATTTGGCAAACAGTTCGGGCGCACGATAAAAACGCGAGCACACGTATGTGGCGCTCGACTCGTTGGCCTGCAGAAATTTGGCGCTGCCAAAGTCGGACAGTTTGAGATTCATTGTTAACGGATCCAGCAGCGTGTTCTCCGGCTTAATGTCCCTGTGGCATATGAAGTGCGAGTGCAGATAGCCAAGGCCGCGGAACAACTGATAAGAGATAACGCGCACGTAGATCGACTGCAGCGGCCGCTCCCGTTGCTTCAGTATAAACTCGGAGAGCGTCATCGGCATATACTCCATGGCCAGCAGTAAATAGTTTTGCCTTGCGTGGCCCAGTTGGGCGTAACAGTACATAATCAAACGAACAATATTGCAGTGACCCTCAATGTAGTTCATGATCTTTGGCTCGCGCTCCAGAATGTACGGATCGAAGTCGACCTGCTTGAGTGCGACCAGTCGCTCCGATTGATCCAGTTGTGCCTTGTAAACGCGCCCAAAAGTACCCTTGCCAATTAGCTCGTTAATTGTAATTGTGGTGCGCACCGGCTCTCTGCCACATCTCGTATAGGCCATGACCCGAAGTACCGTGCCATTGGGTATTATGGAATTGGTTGCCGCAACCAAATTGGATTCCATCTGCTCCGACTCATGCAGAGACTTGGCTGGTAGCTTCTTCTGGGCTACAGGGATTAAGCGGTTGATACACATATTTGGCAAATAAGATATGATAGTGTGTAATTGACTTTGTTGCACTAATTGCTACATTTATTTACATATTTTACTCACCCATTTATTCTAATTTCTATTTGCTTTTATTTAAATAGTAAATATTATGCTGGCAGCTAATAAAAAGCCAAGCTGCGCAGGCGTTAACTATTAAATTAACGCCTTCATTGTGTTAATGTATAACCTTAAATATGCAAAAATAAATCAAAATTCAGTTGTCAAGACACGCGGCCAGCATTTATCCTTTTCTTGCTTCAACATGGCCAATGTCTGAGTGTTGTCTCTGTCCCTCCCTCCCTCTCCCTCTCCCTCTCTCTCTCTCTCTTTCTGCAGTAGACCTCAGCAGTTGATAAAGCAAATGCTGCTTTTTATTGTTTGCTTTATATAAAAAGTTAATTCTTTTAATGCGATTTGTGGCGACATTTTATTAAGTTTTACAAGTCAAGCTATGATCGCTGCGCATGCTTAAGGAACAGAGCTGCCATTCACAGGCAGCGTTGCCACCTGTGCCTGTGCATGTATTTCACCACATCACCGAGTGGTGAGAAACATATTCAAATTAAAGCTTCTTGAAATTTTAACAATTTCAGCATGACAAGAGATGTAATGAATTCAATCAAAGCACGGTGCATTTATTTCAAATTAAACTGAGAGCTTTTTACTTTTTTTGCCTTTGGTATGTGCTTGGCAATAACACAGGCAATAGTTTGGCAGCTTGAGACACTTAGTTTGTATTAAGATTGAGGCTTTAATATGATAAGTCCTTCAATGAAAAGCTTGTGTTTGTTTGTATGTGTGCTGCTATTTCCATTTCCGATCGCCTGCGAAAAACTTTCACCACCAAAGTTTATGGGCCGTACAGCTGGCAAGCAGGCGGGCAGAGCTAGAGCGGAAATGTCGCTTGCCATCCTTCTCTGTGGTTCAGAGTTGAAATTCATGTAATTCCATTAACACAGACAACTTCCGTTAGACGAGAAAATGACAGGCTCGCCTAATGGGCGACGCGTGTGCGATGGCATGGATGACGATGTGGATGTGGCTGCGGCTGCGGCTGCGGCTGTGGATCTGACTCTGCCTGTGCCTGGGCATTCTGGCATATATACTGTGCGGTTAACTGCACGGCTTTGCGTCAGTTTCTGTGCCCAAATATATCCATGCTGCCAGCCGCCTGCCCTTAGCAGCATCCGCAGCCTACTTGGCATTAAAATTAAATTCCCAAAATTCAAATGGCAGCCTTTACGATGATAAAAATCGCAACCGGTGCAACAGGTTCCACACACAAAATGGCCCAGAGTTCGACAAGACCCGAGCAAAACGCTCCAACGGAAATAACTGTCAGAGCAAAGTGGCAACTCGCATAGCTATGGACAGATATTCAGGATATCCGTATAGACTGACTATATATATTTACGACTGCGTTTACTCGATTTACTTTTCCGCTCCTCTTTTTTGACTTACTTAGAATTTTATGTACTAACAAAAAACAAGAATTGCATACATAAATCTTTACTTTGCTTAAGATATGCATTTTCTGTTGGGTAAATTCCGAACACGTTTTTTATAATGGGTTGGGCTTAAGGGCGGATTGTTGTTCTTTGGAACAATGAGCTTCAAACAATAATTAAAGCTTATTTTTAACTAAAGCACCAGTTTCAGCATAAATTGGCTTGATTTGAACAGAAAAAAGCTACTCAATTCAAATTAATTTTCAGCAAAAGCGGGTTGGGCTCATATGCGAAATATATCTGCTTCGGAATCGATTGGCAAATTTAATGAAATCAAGAATATGCAATATTAAATAAAGCTTGAAATGAGCTCGGTTTATGAGAGATTAACTTGACTTAGGTTCGATTTGGAAATTTAATTAAGTTATGCTAAATTCGAGAAAACTTGAGTTGCATACGAAACGTGAATTATTTTGTTTTGGATTGCTAAAAAATTGTATTATTCATTAAATATATTAAGATTTAAATTATAATACTTTCCCTTTTTTTTTGTTGTTTTTTTTTTGAACTGCATTCTTAATCGCAGCTGAAAATCGTTAACACTTTAAGCTAGAATAATACGTACCTATTTGTATTAATAGTCTAGCATTCTCAACTATTGTGCAATCGCATTCTTAGGCGCTTCAAAGTGGAAATCGTGCCAAGTTCTCGGTGCTAAGCACTTGACGTCTCAAAGTCAATGGCAACGTCGTAATTCGTGGGAAAATCTCTTGATTGCATTCTATTGCAAAATACAAAAAAAAAAAAAAAATACAAAAAATACAAAAAAAAAGCGGTTTGACTTACCCACAGATATATAGTATATATAATTAACTGCCCATGAGTGCAGCTCGCCGCTGACAAACAACTCCCGGCCTCGTCCCTTGAACGGCGCCGCCCGCGCCAAAGATTGAAATATCTTTTAAGACATCGTCACACCTTTGTGATGCTGTTTTGCTGGTGATGCACACTGCGGTTGCGGCTCTGATCTTGACCTTGAACTTGGTATTAGATGTGAGCTCTCTCTCTCTCTCACTCCATCTGAAAACCGGTTGGTTACCTGGGCTTTTGTACTGTAAAATTAATGGCCAAGACAAGACGGTGACACGGCACGAGGTGTATCGGCAAAATACCAACTTGCCTGAATTAAGAGCAGCGCACAATAACAATAAGCTGTGCCCTCCCCCCTGGGTGCGCTCTGTCATTTTCACATTTCCATTTCAAATGTACAAAGTGGGTGCATAATTAAAATTAAATCACATTTCTATGCAAACTTGATGCCGATAAAAGCAGCGGGAGAAAACCCAAAATATTAACATCAACAGCTACACTTGTTCCATGGCGGAATATTCTAATTGTTTTGGCAGCAAACGTGGCCCATTAAGTACCGGGTAACCCCAGCGGATCCAAACCCTTTTCAGCCCTAGCCGCAGCGCAAATAAAAGCCAACCGACACACAGTCCAACATAACGACAGCCCGACAGCCGGGTAACCAACATGTTGCGCCACAACCGCAGCTAATCCGGCGTCCACTAAGTGTGCTATAAGAGCAAGCGGGGCCAGGACCTCTTTTTTTTTTTATTTTAATGGGCGGGTGCTTGTGGGTGGCTACTGACAGGCGGAGGCGATTCATTTTGAATAGCTTGGTACAAAATAAAACAAGAAACAACAGCGGCCGGCTGCCTGCATGTCGAAGATTGAATACCCTTTCATACAAAAATGTAACCTCCAAGAGATTCTTACTAGATTCGCAATAGGTTATATGGCAAACTTATAGTTGCTGACATTGATCGGGACATCTTTAGAATTAAATAAATATTGCTTATTTTACATTTTTATCCTAACCAACAAAGTGAAGTTGTTAAGTTTGATAAAAATATGTTGGGAAACAAAGAAAATGTATGCTATATTATATGTCTTGATCAATCGATCTTATGATATATGGTCAAAACCCGGTCACTGATCAAGATCATATATAGTTCATAAGCTCAGAGACTTCTTCTTTTAGGCATTGCACATTTACTAACAACATTCTAATAACCTCTATAAGGGTATATTTAAAAACAAACAAACAAACGAGCAACGACCACATTATGCCAGCTGTGCATAATATGGCATAATAAATGAAGCTTTAAGCTAATTTATTAGCTTAGCGACATTTAGTTGGGGTGTACACACAATCTAAGCCCCAATTAATGAATTTATACTTTTATAGTCATCAACAAACTGTCCTTTGCTCTAAAATAGCTACTTACGGATTAGCTACTCGTCTGCCTTGAATACAATTTTGCCCAATGCTGATCGTAAAAACTCTCAAATCTTGTGTTTGATAATCCTCGAGATGTGCTCACTGTTGGGCACCGATATTTATCATTTTTGGATAAATGTCCGTAATTATAAAAAAATTAATAAGTTTATTCCGCGAGCTCTAAAAGTTTTTCGTACTCCTTAACCGATATGTACTTTTCGTCGGAGATGCTCCTTTTGCCTTATAGAACCTAACTAGGCACAGATGCCTCCCTTTGGCTTATGGAGGCTTTATATTTATATGTCAAACTTTTTTTAAGACAAATTAAGTTTTATCGATTCTATGGCGCTTGATTATTTCATATAATTTTCGGCATGTATCTAGAAACGAAAATGGTTAAAAGAATTCAAATCAATGAATTTCTTAAAATTCCCTATTATGCAATGATAAGCTAACTTTTTGTTTATATCTAAGTATCCCCATCAGGCACAGTTACACTGACTACTTGTCTTATTTATCTGTGTGTCTGCATCAATGTATGCCACGCCCTCATTTTGTGGTTGGTGGCATGTCCAACTAATTTGACCGCCAAAAATGTAACGTGCAAATCGAAGCTGCGGGCGTCTCTTAAGTAAACGACTTCAAATGCCTGCCATAAACAGTGAGAAGTAAGTAAGATTTGCAGCTGTCAAGAATGCACGACTAGCTGATGACCTGTAAACGTGCGTTTATGATTATCAGTTAGTAAAAAAGAATAAAACAAAACTTGTTTGAGGATGTTTAAAAAGTAACTAGAGGAAGGATAATGTTAAAAAATAATGTTAAAGCTGTTGAAAAAAATATTTAAAAAAAATAAAAAATTAAAAAAAATTTTTTTTTTTTTTTTTTTTTTTTTTTTTTTTAATTTGGTTTATTTTGCGCTGGAATCGATCAGTGCCTTCTGATCTCTACCAAGCGGAGTTAAGGGTATAGTGTATAGTTATTATTTAATAACTTAAATGATAATTACAGACTTAAAAATATATAACAATAATGGGAAAGGGATGTTTAAGTGATGTGCCTCGTTGGTAGGTCGTCGGGGTGTAGCCTTCGGAGGCGCCTCTCACTGATGGGCTCAGCCAGGGCCCTTGCGGCCGCGTTCGGATGCTGCACCAATTTGTCGGAGTATCGGCTGCTGAAGAAGTTGAGCTGATCTCCGACCTTTGTTAGGCGGAGATCGCGTTCGATGGCGTCTGTTGTTACGTACCATGGCAGGCCACCAACCTTGCGTGCTGCCTTGGCTTGGACCACTCTTATGCGACGGAGCTGGTGTGCTGATGCCGTGCCCCAAACTTGGATCGCATATGTCCAGATAGGCGTTACCATCGTTTTGATAAGCAGTGTCTTCGTGGATATGTGCAGCTTGCTTTGAGGCTTTAGTAGCCAATCGAGCTTTTGAAGTCTTCT